CCCTGCTGCTTACCACCAGTCCTAGTACGAGGGTGCGGACTCTCTCTCCAATCTCTGGTGAAATGTCATTGCCAAACTGCTGCAGGGTGGTAAGGAACCGTTTGAGCTTGCTGAGTTGCCTGGCACCACAGGCTGGGGGCAGCTGTTGATTAGCCAGAGAGGAAGAGGAAGAAGAGGAAGGCCCGTTGCTAAAGCCATTGGGCGGCGAGGGGGCGCCATTCAAGGCTGTAGGTGAATGGCTGGTGCCATTAGTTACTGTCAGGGGCACAAAATCGAAGGAAATCGTAAATGTACAGAGAACGCGTACCAGGCAACTGCCACTATGTCTCCTTCCCTTGAAATCTAGGAGAACCGTAATTTCAAAGAAGTTGGGACTTTTTGTAAAACACATGGACCTCACAGGCTCACCAGAGCCTCTTCTATGCCTAACTGGGTCCACCTCGCACCCAGGAAGCCTGACACTTACAGAGAAGCTGGCAACGAGCCCACAGGGACATGGGGCCAGCCCTGCCTCCGTGAGCGCATATGCTAGCCACCTGAAATGCTTCAAATGCACAGCCCTGCGCGTCAGGCTGTAGTCAAAGACTGACATCAGTACAGCAGGGCTATTCCTCCCTAAATGGCTCCCCTAGAAAAAGGGTGCATTTGGTGGAGACTAATTTTACCACTGAACATTTTTAATCATGTTTAGTACACACAACTGCCAGCTGTGTTTATAGAAATAGGGCTTTCAAGTTTTCACCTTATCCCACCCAATTAGAGGGTTATTTTCTCCTTCATATTTCTTAACCACTTATTTAGGGAACATGCAAACGTTACATAGGAAGCCAAAATGGACTTCACCAAGGAGCAATTCCAAGAAATGAAAGCGGACACCTCAATCCAATCAAGAGTGCACATTGGTAGTACTTCAGGAAGTTCATTTCTAATAGAATGTACCTGAACACCAGATGATAATCTGGAAGAATGGGGCTAGAAAAATCTGCACAGTTCCCCCTAAAGAAACTGATGGTTTCATCCCATTGAGTCAACTAACTTGACAAAATGATCTGTATCAAACCCATCTTTCCAATACGATTTTGACTATCTCAGTCATGGTTTGAGGAAGTTTTAAGGATACGGTGTTCTTCTTTAAAAACTTCTTTTCATCATAATAAAATGGTTCTTATCCCAAATGAGGACCAAGTAATGTGTCAAGGAATGATAGCTCCTCAGATCATCTCACAGGGACTCATGCCCACCACTAGAACTTTGGGTAACAACCAAACAGAAGATGACAGGGTGACAGCCTGGGATGTTACAGTCTTCTTCTCCTTGCCCTTTAAGAAAAGTCCTTCAATGGCAGGACAACACTGGACAGACACCCTAAGATGTGCATTCTGCTGACCCCTTACAATCCCGCGGATCTATGTTAGCCTCTTATTTTTCATTCATCTACATCTCACGGCCCATGATCTGTAAATTGTATCATCTGCAACAGAGAACATTTTTTATCTTCACAAATCCTTGGTGAAAAGTTTAAACCAGAACTTTGAGGTTGATTAAAACAAAATCATACACTATGCCTGCTGGAGTACAGAGAACAGCAAGAGAAACTGCTTTTCTGTCAGAATGTTCTGTCCATGCCTTTGATGGTACAGAAAGGAGGACACTACGCTGACTTGAACCAGAAGGGAATGGGTTAAATATTCAATGAAGGCTTTTTCCAGGCTGAAACAATTGTAATGCTACCAGTTTCAGAGACATTTCTGTATGAAAGAGTTACATATAGTAAGAGTATCCATGTTATTTATAACAGATTGATATAGATAAAGTAGTATTAGAAGATCAGAAGTAACCTAGAAATTAATAAGCATGGCATATTTTCATGTTCCAAGTCAAAAATGTCCAAATTAAGGAGCTCCACATACCATGAATACTACAGCAGTAGCAACTAAAGTTTCAGACCAAATACATTATTCATTTACCAAAATCATAGCAGACTACAACTCTGAAATAAAAGGCGGGCAAACATTGGCAGCCATGCCAATTATACCTAGGATATAGTTTTGTGTTCATTACCTACTCCCTGGGAAGCTATTGATTATCTTTTGTTTCATTTACAGGCATACTAAACTTTATTTCCCTTGACATTTTACAGGCAGAACAGAATTAAACTTCAAACCCAAAACACAAACCCCAACTTACACGTTGTCGGTGTAAATGAGCTGGTTCTCGGGGCTCCTTGGGTGGTGGGCGGAGGTGGCATGGTTGGAGGGGTCAGCCTCGACTGCGTCTTCACATCCACAGGTGAGTCTGGCATTGTGGACTGCTTCTCAGTACGATCTGGAGGACGCCACCAGGAACAGGTTATTTCACTCCTTAAGCACCTTGGTTTTCAAGTGGGGTTTATCTTTTTAAAAAGCAGGTGAACACAAGAAATGCAACATCTTCGATCAATAAAATATGCTTATCTATGGAAGTTTAAATCAGGATTTTATCATCCAAACCCCACTTAAGAAGGTGTAGCACAGATGGCAGGACCTCGTTTGTAACTAGGTTATATTATATCCTATTGTTATTTCTGGCTCGGGCAGATGCTACTTCAGTAGTGTTACAGGCACCAGCACAACTTTAGTCAGAGCTGAAGCCGACATTAGCAAGAGCAGGGAACAGATGAGGAAGAAAGATGATAATGAACTCCCCCATGACAGCTCAGAAGCAACAGAAATCTCGAAGTCTGCTCTGCAGGTGAGCCGCTGGCAGCAGCCAGCTCTTGGCGGCGGGTTTCTCTCACACCTGCCATCCATCCGCTCTCCTGCTTCGTGTTCTGCTCTATTAGAAGCCTCAGTTTATAGCTCCCAGACATCTCTCTCCCTTCAGTCTATCTGCTCTGTTTTAAAATCACCACTACATGACTGCTTTAGGTCTCACAATGAATGTAAGCTATTATTTACTGAGAATGCATGAATTTATGACCTGTCATTTTAAAAAATGAGGCCAATACACCAATTAATAATCCTAGACACAGGATGTTTCAAGTCCCAAACTGAAAACAAAAGCTAAAGGCAATCCTATTATTTTGCAAAATATAAGACAGATAGGCAGACATTTCTTGATTAGCCAATAATGAACATGTATACTTCAGAACTGCTTTCTCCTAAGCATATCTTTCTCTTAAAAATGCAAATTATTTTTAATCTGCTTATCAAAGCAATAGACCTTTAGCAAAACATATTTTTTTGTTTAGATACTTCTACAAACCACAAGAGCACACCTCCAAATATTTTTAGGTGTTCTGTTGCTTATGGTACAAGTATTTTAATTTAAACATTTAGAAAAGCAAAATAAACTATAAAGAATAAGACTTTGACAAATACTATAATGATCATAATGAGAAATTCTCAAAATTACTTAAAAGGCAATTATTAAAAGAAAGTGAAAAGCCCACATTACTACTATCCCCATTCCAAATCTAGCCAGTCTGTTCAAAGCAGTTTCTTTGGACTTACTAAAATATAACAGTAAAGAAGATGAAATAATGATGAAGCCATCCTAGGGAAGATGTAATAAAGGAATAAACATGGTCATTATCTCAGTAAGTGCCTTTTCATGATGACCTAGAACAGTATGTGGATCTCTACGTCTTCATCTCTGCTTCTGGTTCAATCACAATGAATGAGTCCAGACTTATTAAGTGTTCTGAATGAAATGATGGTGGAGAGCCTCGCCACTTCCATCTCACTGCTAAAAACTTTCCTTCCCATTGCTATTCCAGAGCGTATTACTACCAGCACCAGTAAGTCCCTTATTCTAGAAAAACACAGCAGTTAGGTAGACCTAAAACTGCTTCCTCAGTAAATTCATTGCGCATTCTACTCACCTCAACCAACCTCAGCAACAAGGGAATAAATAGCTTTCCGCTTATGTTGCAGCTGAGGGAAGAGGTACAGCAGCAAATACAAGTCTCCCTAAATAAAGGCAAATATTTCTGTCATGCCAAGAAAGGAGGGAGAGCGGGAGGCTTGCCAGAGTCGGCTGGGAGATAACAGTGGGAACGGCTGGTCCATCTGGCTTTCATTCTGCTCACACTCACATGGAGCTGTGAGCAAAGGCAGTCCAGAGACACAGCCTGGAGCACGTGGTCGCGCAGGCAGCGGGCAAGGAGGAGCAGGGGGCAGGGGCAGGAGGAGCAAGGAGCAGATAAAGCGAGCAACGCATAGGAAAGAAAGCAGGCCGAGGGCAGCCCCAAGGGACAGCTTCCTCCTGCCCAGCGTGGCTGGGCCCCAGCTGAAGTGAACCTGAAGGTCTAGAGCTGCCACCAGCACCACCAGCACCCACTCACCTCAGCTCTCAACTTCCCTCTAAATGGCCCACACTCAGAAAAAAGCAAACCCTGAAAAGTTGGCAATGGGTTTAGTCCTCAAATTTAAGAACCAAGTTCATACATAATATAACCTTTATATGGCACCTCTGTCCCCACTTTAGAAAAGATTTCTGATGCAATCGCAACTTTTATTTGAAAGTTTATCACCCGGAGTACCATCAGAGTAGTACCATCAACACAGGTGGGTTTTTACGTTTTGTTTTTAATTTGTAAAATGTCATCAGTACTTTATGACTAGCCACCACCAAGGCATAGCAAGACAACAACCACAACCTCCGACAGGAATATGGACATCTTAACCAGAATATATGTACATGTGGATAGATTTAGAATTTTGACATTAGCCAAATTTCTGCGATGGTTGGCTTCACACTGATCAAATGGGGTCCCAACCCAGAGATCCCATAAAGTGAGACAAAGGGGGACCAGATGTAACTCATTCCGTGCTGCTCACTGCGATCCATCCAGGATGGAGATAGATGGTGAAATCACAGCCCAGTCCCCACCCCTGCACACACAAAAATGCTCTGGAGCAGAGAGATTTAAGATAAATTCGGAAAATATGTCTTATGTATGCTGAGCTCTGTTGCATTTGTTTTGGATTACTTAAAAAAATCTTTTTTGAAATACATATTCTTGAAACTTCTATAGCAAACAGCACACGAGCTATGATTTAACCACAGAAGCATTTCACTCCATTTCAAATTAGAGGATACAGTAAAACCAATATTGAGTTATTCTGTATCTTACATAATTTTTAGGCTCATGAAAATTATACTTTTCTGGTACATAATTTCTAGTTTTTCACTGCTGGAAGAGAATTCTGAGGTTAGTGAAAGACAGACACAATATTTTTTAAATAGGAGAGAGAGATAAGCAGAAAAAAGGATCTCAAGAAGAGAAGGAGGGAAAAAAGACAATAACTTGATCAGGAAGGGACAGGAAGTATAATCGACTGTTTCTATCGAGATTCATACTGCTTCTAAACACGATGGTCTTCGCTAGGCCGCAGTATTTCCCTCACTTGGCAAATATCCAACACATATGTAGCACATATGGCTGCAGCAGGAAAGAAAATGTGGCATATATAAATATACATTATTACCAATACCATTTCAATATCCAATGCATTGTCAGGGCCTTCTAGAAGCAGTATGTTTTCCATTTCCTTTTTGTTGTTGTTGTTAAGTAAAAAGAAAAAGTATGGCATAATCTGCCCTGATACTTATTTTAAGTTATCTCAAACAGTTGCAGATGTGTTTTTGAGGTGTGAAAGAGAGGTATTCTACATTTTCCTTCTTTGAGTACCATTCTAGACCTGACTGATATAAAAAGTTCAATTTTGGTAAGTAGTACAACTCTATTGTACATGTCAATTATAATAGTCTCAGATATAGACTATGAAGAATTTCCTGGGCAATTAGTAATTGGTCCAGAGTTAGTCTACTTGAAATAGTTTTAAAGAACTTAAGAAGCATTCACTAAAGAGTATTAAGCCAAAGTGGAAGACAGGTACTACTAAGAGAATTAGGAAAGAAGAAAGAGAAGGATAGGATTCAGCAGCAGCTGCTTTGTCTCCCATCCAAGGTCTGCGTTTCCCTGAGGAGGACTTCCGGTAATGTCCCCTCCTGCTTGGTCTTTCAAGATGTCTGAGAAGGGATGTCAAATGCTATTGTTTTAAATGTGCTGAAATAATGCAGGAGAAGAATATTTGGTAACATAATGAAACCTCCAAGACCAGACAGCCCTGGCATCAAATTTTGGCTCTTTTAACCATTAGTAGGAAGTCCTACCATAAGTTAATTATCCTGAGCCTCAGGGACTCATGAGAAGAATGGGAAACCAGGGATGGGGCACACCTACTTGGGAGGCTAGGGTGGTAAGATCCCAAGTTCTAGGCCGGGCTAAGCAAGTTAGTGGCCCCACCCTCCCAATCTCCAAATTCAATTTAGAGAAACAGAGAGGAGCAAAAAGAAGAGAGGGGGAACTGGGAGAGGGAGAGAGGAGGAGAAGAGAAGTGTGGAGAGAGAGAAAGAAAGCAGGTACAATACTCCGTCCTTCATGAAGACAAAAATTAAATAAAGGGCTTAAAACCCTATTGTGGCCAGGTGTGGTGGTGCACACCTATAATCCAAGCAAGCTGAGGCTGAGGCAGAAGGCCAGCCTAAACTACACAGCAAGACTGTCTCAAAACAAACACACCAACAAACAAAAAAGAAACCTGTCCCAGAGCTAACTCATATCAGGTATGGATCAGCAGGTACAGATCAGTGCAAGTTTCATTTTCCTGTGATACAAGAATATCAACACAGGACACCTTGGAATTCCCCAGCTTTTTTTTTTTTAATGTATTTTAGTACAGGGATCACAGGGTCTCACTACACAGATTGGACTTTAGTGATCCTCCTGTTTTCAGCCTCCCAAGTGTGGGCATTATAGGCCAGTGCCACCATGCTCAGTCTCAATCGCAGTCTCTGGGCATCCCGACAGCCAGGCTGGCACGGTATGGCGGGGGTGGAATCCCAGTGCCTGGGTCTGCCTATGTAGGCGCTGTGGTCCGCTTAACTGTCTGGCCAGTCCTTCCCTGGCTTTTTCTTTAATCTTTCTTTTTCCTAGTATTTTTTCCATTCTCCCTTAGGACGGTACTCAATGCATACATGCTATCACGCTTCTTACAGGCAGATTGGTTACATTCCTAACTTCTCCAAATACATTTCCTATATTATTAACCAGTTCAAAAATAACCACACAGGTCGGTCCTGTTACAATTCTGTATATGGTTAGATTTCTAAATTTCTTTGTAAAATTATATAAATGCTTATTTCTACCTTTATAAAATTATTTTTTCTACCAAAAAAAAAAATTGTGGGCTGGGGAGATAGCTCAGTAGAATAAGTGCCTGCCTGGCAAGCACAGGGTCCTGAGTTCAATCCCTGGTACTGCAAAAAAAAAAAAAAAA